CATCTAATTTAGAACCATCCCTTTAGAGCTGTATCAACATTCAAAGTTGCTAAACATGACTGTTCTACTTCACTTTCTCATATCAAATATGCTTTGTTGTCTCTATGAAAACATGTGAAATATTAGAGAAACTTTTGTATATCCCTAATGTAGGAAAAAAACCCCATATTCTGACCTGAAGTGTCCGGAAAAAGCCTCTTTTCTATCTGAAAACTAATCTAGAAATTAGCATACCAAGTGGTATCTTAAGCCAAAAGAAAAATACAGTAAATTTATATCAAAAGCATAAACTTCTGATTACAGACTATTAGTGGGTTCTCGTGACATAACCTACAAAACAAAGTTATAGGAAAAAGATCCACTGGACTAGGGAACAAGAAAACAAGGCTCAGTTCCTGGAATGCCTGTGCAAATCTTCCCATCAAAACCAATAAGCACATTAGCTGTCCATACAGATGTAGTGAGGGGATAACATTTCTTGCTCTTCCAAAAGTTCTAAAATCCGTTATTGCTGCAATGCCCTGAAGATAAGAAACATACAGAGATAAACAATTACTCTTAAGCAGGGTTTCTCAAAGGCTGCTATTGCTATGTCTCATCTTTACAACCATCAACCATGACTTTTTAATAGAAAGTTTCTTTGTGAATCTGAGGTCTCATGGTCATTCCTCTTTGTTGATGCAACTTGGGGTTAATTACAGCAGCACTCAGCTGTGCCCAGAGCAAAACAAGAGACAACTAGTCTAAAACTTGATCAGCATTTGCTCTTATCCTTCCCATCTGTCGAGTTCCCTCCCTGATTTCCAAGAAATACTTAGGGTAGTAGACAATGCAGTACCATGAAGCCAGACCTGGGTCTGCAGCCTTGACTGGAAATCCAGGAGGACATAAATACCGTCCCCTTGTGAGGGCAAAACAGAGCACAAAGTTGGTGCAACTGGTGCGTGAGGCAAGTCGAGCAGTTTGGCAGATAGGGTAGGAGGGAGTACCTGAAATTAAGCTCCCATGCTACGGATCCCCATTCCCTCATTTCTCACTTGAAATGCATCTTCTACCAGCATGCACACTATACAAACAGTTTATGCTAGCTTTCCATTCCAGGTATTCAGAGGTTCTTCCTCCCTGTAACGTGTTTTGAGGCTTATATGCAATGATTTACTGTTGCTTTTATATCCAACATTTTTTGTAATATTCTCATCGTGATCAGCTAGCTCAATGCTTGTTGAAGCAACGTATTCTTCCTCTTGTATGTGCCCTGAAAGACTGATTAGCAACAAAGCATTACAATAAAGAACTAGAGTATTAGTTATAAATCTCTTTTAAAAAATGATGTCTGAAAAAAGAAATATAACACAAACTGAATGGAAAATAAAGGCCACCCCGCAGACCAGTGTTCTAGACTTGCAAAATTAATAAACAATGCCATGAAAATTTTCAGGTCAAGTCCTATCATCTACCACTTTGATGGCAGGTAGACAAACATTAGCTTATGAAAAGCGCAACAACACAAAGGCTAATGGTTCAAAACACTACACAGAAAAACTTAATCAGGTTTTTAATATTTTCCAATCCGTACTTTTCTAAATAAGGCATATAAAATGGAAAACAAGACAGGGTAGAGAACACCCAATACATGATGCCTTCAGAGTTGATCAGCATTTAAAGGCTAAAGCCTGCCAAGGGGAAGCACACAAGGAAATGCAAGTCTCAAATGCAAGACAACAGGATAACTTACAAGGGTGTTACTGGAAAAAAGTCTTGATAAAGGAAGGACAAGCATAAAAGCTCATTTTCAGAAAATGTCTCCTCTTATATATTGCTCTGTTATTGTACACTCAAGCATAGCTCCTGATGGCAGTACTAGTCTTGACAGGGAGCATAGTTCCATCCTACGAATTTCCTATTAAATTTCCTTTAAACCCCTGCCTCCTTCCTGACATTTTCACAGCACCACAGAGGAAGTTACTCCTCTGTGAGAAACCCTCTGGGCAAGGGCAGTGCTAAGCTACCTGCCCTGGGATGGGGCTGTAGACACCATCGCTCAGGGGTCAGCAGGTTGAGGAGGGGAAACCACCAACATAGCACGGGAGTACGGTAGGGTGGAAGGATGAAGTCTGGAAGGAAGAGCAGGGATTGGACTCCGGCTGTTTATCCTTTAACTCTTCCATTTTGCTCAACGCAGCATTTGCACCAGAACAACAAGTTCCACTCACAGCAGCAGAGACCATCACTTAATATCTCACTTGATAGTGATGCAGCTCTGCAAGACCCTTCTGTGCAGCTCCACCTCCATCCACCAAGATTATCACTTCCCAAATTCAATTGTTCCAGTTCTTTGTGCATTTCAGGTTACAGCAAAGCCCTGTCTCAGTTATCCCCAATTCAAAGGGTTCATGTATTTTTCAACTCATCCAAGCATTTCGTAGAGGCACCTTTCCATTTGCTTCTGAAGCAGTTATAGAAAATATTGATACTAATCACGCATATCACAAGAATAGGGCATTGATCTTCCCATCATCTAAAGTCCTCAAGAACTCTGCAGTAACTTCAAATAAAAGCCAGACCTCTCCTTTCTATTGCTCAGAAGTCTGTAAAGCAAAGCCAGCAGTTTCTTCAAGGGTAAGAGGAGAAACTGTAATTCCAACGGTGCCCAGATTTGTCTAGAAACAGATAGCTTATTTTATGGTTCACAGTTCCTGAATATCATTACATTTTGCACTTTTCCTGACCAGTGCAACAGCACTTACACACCTTCCATAACCACGTTCTCCAGTGCTTTGGAAAACTAGTAGTCTGCTTCACCAAATATTTGCTTGGTGTGGGGAACGAGCATTGAGGACTGGTGTCCCACTCTTAAGCTTCATACTTGAAGGACCAGTCTCTTCACACACACACACACACACACACACACACACTGGCAACATCTCTTTGTATATCCTCTTCACGCCACAAACCACTACGCTTTCTACTCTGACCGGCAGCAGAGTGAGATGCACCATCAAGGCAGCAAAACCTCAACGTAGAGCAACCTGTTCACCACCAGTCACATCAGCTGCCAGGGAAAGCTGCCACGCTCACAGCAAAGCAGCCCTGCTGCTCCATCACCACTCCTGCCCTTCCCTTTTGGCACCACTACACCCTTTTTTACCACTTGCTTGACTGATGCCACATAGGTGGCCCAATCAAGGCAGTATTTCTGGAAGTATTTCTGCAGAGAAAGCTGCTGTTCCATGTCCCTGCACTGCTCAGGCACTGAGGAGCTGTGCAATTTGCAGCTCCTCTGGTCTACACAATTTCCCTTTCCTTCACGCCAGTGACTCACGAGTTAGCGCTCACCCTCTAGTCGTCCTTAACAGCAAAGACTGGTGAATTGTCATCTTCCCCGAGCTCCGTTCCCACAGCTTTTGCAATTCCTAGGAGGCATTCACAAGATTAGAGTTTTAAAGGTCAGCGAGCTATAATTCAAATAAGTATAGAGCTGTAGAGATATATTAATTAACAAGGAAAATATATGAGGCTGGAACAGATCGCCTAGATGTACCTAATGCAAATACTATTAAGCTTACATCACTGCATGCCAAACAAACAGACCAGACTGATAGAACATTAGTCTTGCAATACCAGTTTGAAAGGCTCTCCCTAGATTTTACTGATTGCATGGCCAGTATCCCAATAAAGAATCCCTACTGATTTTCAGGAATTGAATTCTGTCTCTTCTGCACCAAAAGCACCAGTACAGTCATCATTAGGAAACATAACTTGCAACTGTTGCACTAACCAAATTTTACGGTGTCCTAAAAAAAGGGAAGAGCAAAGAAAGAACCAAACTCTTACCTGCCAAGCCATTCAACCTGATATGAATCAGCTCTGACATGAGTTAATTCCTTTCATACTGCTGTCTTGAGATACATCGCTAGAAAAAGGCATTGTCCCTTAATAGCCAGACAAAAGCACTGCATGGGATGCAAAAAGAACAGTAAAAAAAAACACAAAAAGAACTAGCAAGGGAAAGAAACATGTTGCAATTATGTGAAATACTGGTTTTGATATTTTATTAATAAGCAAGCATCCCTGGAATGGGGGTCTAAATAAAAACACTTCATTAGCCAATCGGAATACAAGGAAGTTATATAAATTTATTTTATGTAACATTGATTAGTTTTGAAAATTCCCATTTTTACTGCTTTAATTCCATCTTTTATTTAAAAAAATCACTAAAAGGACACAACCCACAAAAATACAATCTGTATCTGCTCTATATTTACAGATAACTGGTCACTATTAAGGCACAGATTTAAAACTAACATTTTTATGTAGCAAGTCAAATATTTGTGCATAATATAACACTAACAATACGGTACGTTGTACTGTCATATTCCCTTTGTGGAATCAAAATAAGTGAGAAATTTTTTTCCAGTGTGTTTTTTCTGTGTGAAGCCCTATTGAAAATAACGTTGTTAATGGGAAATTCTTCACTCTTGTGTAGATGATTTAAGCACTGCTCAGCAAAAGACCACATGAACTTAATACTGTAATAACTTCTGTTCCAAGTATAGTACTGTCTACATACATACCATGTACTTATGAAAATCTAAAAATCTAAGAGTGTAAAATTTTTTTGGATGCTTTTAAGTTCAGGCAAAAGCAGCAAGGGGTTGCAGAAAATCCTGTACAAAGTGTTGCTAAATATTTATTCCATTAAAAATATTTTATAAAATTAATGCACTTGCATACAATTCCATTTTCCAACACTGGTCTTGAGAATGCAAACACTGAGATGACAGGTCATCCCTAAGCATACAAGTAGTCCATGACAATGGAGCTATTTATATGCTTAGAAGTAAGCACAAGTGTAAATACTTCCAGAATTAGAAGTTGTGGCTTCCACAAGGGTTTGCATGAAGTTGCTCTTGCCCGTGACACACACCACAGTTCTCATAGATATGTGGATATGGACTTTTGGCATTTAAGCAGAGTTAATTTTGCTGTGAACCACTGTGTGGAAGACTTATCCATTCTAATTTGTAGTACAATTTTAAAAGCAGAGCAAGTTAACTGCGACTTTACCTACAGTGGAAGGCACCCAGCTACACACCATTAAGTAAATATGGCTGACTTGAGTACTGAGCAGTCTGTTCTTGCTAACCACAAGGCATTTTATTATCACTTGATCATCTATGCCCTCAAGTAATAGCTTCTTTAAATTCCCTTTTTGTGTTCAAATATTTCTATACATCATTTTGCTTTCTCACCTTAAAAGAATTATCCATGGAAAAGTGTCAAAACTGTTTCTCACCCATTTTTGCATAAAAACCAACTACTGTAAATGTTATTCTAATGCCTTCTTTTAAGAGCACTTGACAGTGGTTTATGTCCATCTCAAAAGGCTAATACACTGAGCATAAATACATTACAGTAGAGGTAATTAACAATAGTTCCTATGGGAATGATTTTCAAAAAAATTAATGTTTGGAAACTTCATATTGCATTGCAGAAAGAGGCACTTCATGAATTCCTTCATTATAATGAGAACCCTTCATAAACCCATAACAAAAAAATAATCCATAAGGACAGAGGAATAGTATTGCCAATTTTTTTTTGGACTTTCACAGTATAGGAATGCAATAGTTTCTCTATCCACTTATAATATGGACTCTTTCTGTTGAACATAACTTGTTTCAGAAATAGTTCATCTCAAGAGTTTTGCAGCTGACAATTGCAAATCTAAATTGAACAAAACAGATGCTATCACACCTATTTCTGTAGGTTGCTTAATTGCTGCATGCATAGTCAGGTAAGTAACATACGTCATTTATTAAATGGCAACAGTGCTGTCTTGTCAAATTAGATTAGTTTTCTGTTTAATCAAACTGACAGCCCACAGCTCTAGTTTGATGAATGCCTTTCTTTCTCTACCAAAAATCTGCAGTAGATCAGTTAATCTGTTATGTATTGTAGGTGTATAGAATCTAAAAATAAAAGTCTGATATAAATAAGTGTCCTTTAGTGGAAGGATACTAAAAATAGCCCTTTGCTCCAAGACAACCATTAAAAACAGTTTTAGCATTACAGGCAGCAGTTAAATATGATGACTGCAAAGGGTTAATATTGCAAGGTCCATTTTGGTCTTTCATTGCATCTGTTACAGTGAATTATTTTCATTGCAAGCAGCTCTAGACTGCTCAGGAGCATAATAGCATTGGTCCACTACTAAGTGGTTTGATTTTGGAACAATCTTTCCAGATAACTACCGGGGAAACAGAGAGAAAGAAAGAAAGAGAGACAGAAGAAATCTGCACAGGAACGCATAAGAATCAACTTCTAGTACCATTATAGTGAGATGTGACCTAAAGCAGGAACATCTGAAATGTTTTGATTAGTGCCAATATAGCAATTGATACAGAAATGAAAGAAGTAAATTTCCACAGGACAAGAAATCAGAACATGTAAAGTGCAGAAAGACCTCAATAATTATCTTAAGCAGTACCAGAAAAATCCATCTTGATAAAACCAAAAAAATCTATGCTCTCTGGCATCCCAGCTTTTCATTCTTCCTTCATTCAACAAAGTAAAAATTCAGTGCATACATTATAGTTATAGGTAATAAAATACTAAACAAAGATCCCTATATTATTATTATTATTGCAAATTCTGTCCAATCTACATGAGTAAAACATAACCCACATTTGGTGTTTTGAAAGACAACAGCAAAATGTGTTTCCTCTTTTTTTTTTTTGGCACAGTATTGTGCAGACAAAAACGCTTTGGTCCTTGATACCCAGACTCCCAAAGTGCAGAGGGTGGTTGTGCAGGGACAGCTGTCCACAGGGTGGCCATGTCCATCTTTGCAGCTGAGCGAGGCACCACTTACTGCTACCAGCGACCGCTGACGCTAGCAATGTCCGCGTGGTACTGGCGTGGCAGCCTTCCACTAGCTCCACCTTCCAGGAACGAGGCACGTAGGTTTGATGGGTCAAAGAGCTTTCTTCGGTTTTTATTCAGTTCTGGAAAGGCCACAGGAAAAAAAAGACGACACTCAACAGAAATTATTCAAGACAAGTGTTGTTTAGACACAGAACAGTATGAGCTGAAAGCATCTAGCAAGGTACTTGTTCAATACGTAACACATCATTAGGATAGTGCAAGGATAAGACTTGATACAGCCTAATGGGGAAGTAAGCTTCTATTTGGGGCAATTCTTAATCTGCACTGAGATGCTGTGCAGGAGACTTTGTATGCTGAGTTAAATCAGATTGCTGGAACACTAAGCAAGCTGCAATTTCCTTCTGAAGGAAGGCTCTGGCTGCAAACTCATATGTATCTATACATATCTAAATCATTTTTCAAGTATTGTTTTAAATACAACACAGAAGCAGTATTTTAATACAGATTCTTTTTAAGAGATGCTCACTTCTTATTCAAATCCACATTTTAAGTCTGTACAAATGCTCATCCAAAATATTTTTCCTTTCCCCACTTTTCCACTCTTCTGAACAAACTTGATGATGGATATGAATCACAAAGATTACACATTTTCATGAATGCTATTAACTAAGTATAGTGCTCATCTTCCTTATGCCATCATTTAAAATACATAAAAATATTCACAAGTAACATCAGCAAGAGAGAGGCACCCTAGAGAAAAAAAAACTCATGTTCCATGAAAGATCTGAAGAAAACTGTTCCTCCAGCATAGATTCATTGCCAAGACAGAGTACTCGTAAATGTACTGTCTTTTGCCATTTATCACAGTTAGAGAAAGCCCTATTTAGCTACATATACTGTAGTACATTGTGAAAAACCTTATCTGGCCTTTATTCTTCTACAAGCAGGATACAAAACAAAATTTTAACTTATAGATGGCTGGAAAAAAAGGTCAGCTACGAGTTAGCTGTTTCATTCAAACCTAGACAAACTCAGAGAGAGAAAAAAAAAATCTTGGGAAAAGAACCCTGGCAGTTTTTACAGCCAGTACAACTGTTTTGTTACACAATAAAGTTAAAAGGAACCAAAAGCCTGAAAAAGACAGCTCTTTGCAGCATGTTGTGCCATTCAGACTTCTGCTGAGTCTGAAACCTCACAACTTGTACAACCTGGGGTTTGGGGACAAAAAAGGCCAAATCTATAATCTTCTGTGAAACAAACACTTTCCAGCAAGTTTCAGCTTTACGGCAGGGTACAGTGTTTGCAGTGTAAAACCTCTCTAAAGGTCAAAGCTCCAAAAGGGGTCTGCAATGAAGGGCAAGCCAATATGATTTGTGAAATAGATTCTTACCCAAATCCCTTTGTCAATTGTAAACTTGCAATTCAAGTGAGGAGAGAATAAACATCGTTTGCTTAAAATTAACAAGCACTGACCTGAATTTATTTATATTTACCTGAGATTGCAAGCAGCATTTTTCTTCTGGCACCAAAAGTGGTAATTCCTAGCTCTTTCAAATCTTGATCAGTAAGAGTAAGGAATGTCTGCAGATCAATCTAGAGTAAAAAGAAATAGGAAGTTTATACACAATTGCTCTCCAGAGCGATTAAGCCATAAATGTGAGGCAGGACAGTCTCTTCTTTCTGCAGCTACTCTATCAGCCTATCCTTTGTACGTAAGTGGCAGTCATTGCCTTCCACTGACTGCTAAGTGCACACAGCTTCAGTTTGCCACGCTATATTCCAGATAAAGAAAAATAGGAAAAGAAAGAAAAGTACAGAAGATTAACTAATCAGATTTAACTGTGACTCTAGAGATAGAGTATTTACCACAATCACTGCTAGGTAATTGGGAAGCAGAGAGATAGATATGTCTGTAGATATGGTACATGCTTCAAATTGCAGTAAGTTAGCAGAAGATATTTGCTCACCTACTGGTGATATATTTAATTAAAGCATTGACCAAGTCACAAAACACTGAAGTTTTCGTAATGTTTTTTCTTTTTGTGGTTTTTTTTTTTTTTGGTTCCTAGTGCAGTTCAAGGAAACATAGTGGAAAATTATGTTACTCTGGCCAAGCAGCTTAGTTCATCACACTTCATTCTCAAAGTACAAAAATTAAAATCAGGGCACCAGGGAGACAGAAAATACAAAAGTCAAGAAGGTCAGTACAAAAAGAGAAATTAAAAACACGCAATGCTACTAGCAGAGTGAAGAGACCACAATGAGCTATCACAAATGACCTATGAAGAGTGCATCTCAATACTTGAATCTCTTGCATTAAACAGCACAACAGGATGTGAACTTAACCCTTGCAGGGCTGTTTGTCCATCTTGCCCCAGTGGCAATGAGAGGAATAAGGAATGAGGGTAGAGCCCATTTCCTTGAGCTTCAAGTGGCACAGGCTGTGTTACCATCTTGAAATAAATGTGCTTGTGTTTCAGCTAAAGGCTGACAGAGTAAGCATGCCAAAACCTTCAATTTAACTGAACATACACATGCTGTATTATCTATTTCAATCAAGTGGACATGCATACAGAGAACTCTAACAAGACTTTCAAACAACAACTGTGCTTAATGCTCAAAACCAGCACAACTGCTACTTTCTTAGACGCAGTGGGTGGCTAAGATAACAGGAAAGGCCTAATAGCCAGATAACACGAGCATTACAAACAGGCAGGGAGCACGAGGCAGATGGAGCTGAGGGACTGCGCACAGCCCTGCTGGAGCCACAGCTGGATCTTTTCACCCAGACGAGTATTAACCTGCCCCAGCAAGGCCAGTTCCAGGCTAACCCGCTCCACAGCTGCCAGCACTTGGCTTCCCACAGCAGTCCCCAGCTCAGGTGTGGCCACTTTCTAACCATTTTCATGCCGTCCCACACAGAAATAACACATTGCTCCAGAGCACTAAACAGTGTGATGAGAAAGCCAAGGAAACCTGGTTGAACACACACCAGATCCAGGAGCAGCTGGACACTTTGGAAGACCTGCCGATGACTCAACAGAAGCCACTTCTATTGTGTAGTATTTTAGGGATATGAACTACTGCTGCTTGGACTGAACAGATACAAATGTAGGCAGTGAGGAGGTGGAATGGGGGACCTCCCACAGATGACCGACTCCTCATTGGGAATGGGTCAGAAGTCTAGTCCATTGGCAAACATAAAGGCATGGAAGGGAGGAGAGATGGAATGAACATGTGTACACCTGAGCACTGAACCTGGAGGAAACGTACATCCGGGAAGCAGACTATTCTTCCACACCTTCTAATGAACTTGACCAAAACCTAAGGTCTAGCTATCCCACAAACAGAAGCCCTGAGGCTTAGATTTCCTTGAATGAAATAATTGATGTGTACTTAGAAAATTAAACAAAGCTTCAGGAAAAAAGTACACATTTCTAGAATGGCAATCCAGGAATTCACAAGGTATGGTTCAGAAGAGATGATCTCTAAAGGTCCCTTCTATATATTTACATAGATTTGACAGAATAGCTCATGAAAATCTTGCTGCTAACAGACTTGGTGGTTTTGTTCCAGAAGCAGAACCATCACCACAAGCAAAACACACTATGAACACAGAAATATCTCTTAAATGAATACTGACCTCTTGCTGTTGGAATACATCTGTGTATTTGCCCAAACCGAGTTTGCTGAACAGCTCAGGCAGGTCAGATCCCTTAAACAAACTGTTCAGACTACAGCCATTGCTGCCCGTCAGCGAGGAAATGCAGTCCATGTAATTACTGCTGCTGAGATAGTGTTCAGCTGAAAGGAGGAAAGTGCACTTGAATTTTCAATCAGGGTAATCACATCAATGTTATATTACATTAAATCATTAAGTTACCACAGTACATAAAACTTCAAAATACTTGTTACTTAAAAAATTCCTTTCACTGGTCTGAAATAATGAACAAAGTGAATCTTTTGCTTAAGTTTCAGTCTTTGCTTAATAAAAAGATGTTTGGATATACTTTTTTAAGCAATTAAGTCATATTACACAACCTTTCATGCAGCTATAATGCAGGACCTTGAACTCCATGCAGAAAGGGCCTGCAAGGCTGCACTGCTGCTCCCTCCTGTTTTGTCCTCCCTCTTCTCCAGCCATTACTTAAGGAAGCATCCTACCACAGCCTAACTGGTGCCTGTTTTTCCCTAGCAAACACATCAGGAATTTGTGTGGATGGGGCTCTCCCTCACTAGCTACAAGCACAGCAAAGAGGACAGTGAATGCATGAGGGGCTTGCAGAAGACACAACAGTGCTCAGTTGCATAGAATGAAGGTGGCCTTGGACACTTGTGCTGTAATCTTTATTATAGACTCCTGAGAGGATGGCAGGAGCACAGCTTTTCACAAGTGACTAAGCTATGTTTATTTTCTGTGCATGAAGTATTAGAAGAATTTGGGATCTTATCTCCCTTGCACTATGAACACTATGGGAATACCATAGACAGACATTCATAGCTGAGCCAGTGTGCTTTTTTTAAAGTATAAAAATTACAAATATACCAACCATGAATATTTCCTCTAAGTGAAGCTATATCCTTTAAAATGTCCAACTATATGTTTATTTTGGAGTTAATCTGGGATTTAGATTTTATTCACTTTGATAAGAAAAATGCAATAAAAAATAAAAAAGCCACAAAATATCCTTCCTCACAATAGTGACACATTTATATGGACAAATATTTACTTCTCCATCTTTTTCCCCTTTCTAGAAAGGGGAATTTAAGTTTTCAGCAACTTTAAATTATTTTCAAGTAATTGAAATGATGTAAAAAATAGATTTGTGAGTTATAATCTCTGTTAAAAAGAACTATAATATTTACAACCTGCATCCACAGAAATAAGTGATTCAAAACACGTTCTACCCACTGACAAACATATGGAAGGTTTTATTTTGATTACCATAAAGTAAATAATGCTTTCAAATTCAACGTCAACAAATTACGACTTCATCAGATGCTGGAGTCCAATAAAAACTTAGCTGTTTTTGCACTGACAACAAGAGTGGTCATTGTGTAGAAACAAGCTTTTGTTACATCTGGTTTCAGTGCAGCTTGACAAAGCCCTTCCAAGTACAGAAAGAGCTTTAAGCTGTAGATCTCTCCAATTTTTAAGTTCTTCCTTCTTTTAGATGTTAATCTAAATCATCTAGAACATCTTAATAGATGTTTTCCTTCTGAAACAGCATTTTTGTGATTTTTCTGTTGTTTTACCATCTTGCATATATTTTCATTGTTCAATTAAAAAAACAGCACACCTTTATTTTACACGCACAGGACATTTAAATCCCTAATGATGCCAAGAAATATTGATATTAAAATATGTTGCGATCATTAAAAAACAGTTCTCAAACACCACCAACCTGATTTATTTTGTTTCCGTTTGGGACTGCCTATTGAGGACACAAATTCATTATGAGCCGCAGGTCCAAGCCCGTTGTGGTCTCTCCAGTTATCAGATTCACTGCCAGTTCCCAGGTGCTCCCGACTGTTGGACCGTGAGAGGGACAGTGACGAACCCTTCAAGACAAAATTTGTGCATAAAACTCAAATTTCACTGTGACTCAAGTATTTCACTTGAAGCAGCTCAGCTAAAGCACACGGCTTTCCAAGCTTTAAATGCTTGCAAACATTCTTTGGCAGTTGATCAGTAGTTAAAGAATTGCCAACCATATACAAAAACAGCAAGTGTGCTTAAATCATAAGCACTTTGTACATTTTATGCAGAAGCTGAAGGCCCTTCAAATAAGTCGCTCAATGTATCTTTGTTTCAAAAACGCTCTATGGTACCCAATTCCCACACCAGTTCCATATACAAGTAAACGTTCTTTTTCTTACTCCTTTAAAGCATTCATCACAAATCTCATCCTCATTATGAATCAATGTTCCAAATTAGGGCAACAGTTTTCCCTAAAATGCTGCAGAACACTATGGAATTTTGTGAAGACATATCAAAAAGATTAACATTATTGATACCAAAGGCATACATGAACTAAACATGACTGACACAAGTTACTAATTTAATTCAATTTGCATGCATCAAATTCTAATTAAAAATCCACACATCTGCAGGTAGCAGTCTCTTCTATGCTTTTGAAAAACTAACATCAGAGATAAAAACACATAAGCTCCTTGTCAGTGTGAGATTCAAGAAGGTGTGAATGAGGGTCAGTATGACTCAACTAGTTGAAAATAGAATGGATTGACTTCAAGTCTGTTAAAAAAGCAGAAGAGAGCGGGCAAGGACTCTTTATTATTTCATCAAGGTGATAACTACAAGTTCTGAAGCAAAAACAAGTCATTCGATATTCCTGGAAAACTGAATGCACGCCACAATATTACAGTGAAGGTGAGAGCTTCTCAGTGGGCTTATATCACCAGTTAGCTTCCTGAACATGAGACCACAAGGCCAGAATTACATCTGTTCCAAGAACCCTCCTTGGGCACCACACACACAAGTTCATCAAAAGCAACCACATGGGAGGAAGCGTGCCAGGCCTGCCCAAGAACACAAGGACAGAGCTGAAAACTGCCAAATAGAAGCAATAGGATAACAGGAACCCAAGATCTTTTATAGACACACAATAGCTTATACCAAAGAATGGAAATAGGAGCACTTAAGCAATATCATTTTAATGGAAAGAGCTAAAATGGGTCTGTACATTCACTGACACCAAGGGACTAACAAAATGCTCCTACTTAGGATAACCAGGCTGCTTACAGACCTTCAGAAGAGGTCAGTGCATCACCACCTGGAGAAAACCCCACCCAGATTAAATTGTAGAGAGAAGAGTTTGCCATAAAAACAAACACAAACAAAATCTGTTGCGTTAGACCTTCCCTCCCTGCCAAGTTGTTACTGCAAACTTGCTGCATGTGCCCGAGCCCGTTACACAAACTAAATGATTCAAAAAGTCAACACACATCAAGTGAGGAACACCACAGCACGTTTCCTTGTGTTTTATCATGTCTTTTACACCAATACATCCTAGAGAAAAATCTCTCTGGAGTTTCAGCGCTTAAGAACTATACCATTGACATTTGATAAGTAGGACAAAAGGTGCCTGTATGGAAGCTGGGGAGGACTAAAGCATGAAAATGCACTAAAAAGCAGCTTCAGAATGCCTTGAAGAAATATAAGTTCCCACAGAGTCCTCATAATGCTACTCCTTTTTCTATCACTAAGCTATATGATGTAGAATACTGCATATTTCTTTTACACACACACGCACACATGTATGTATGTTTTTAATTAGGTCAGATTTCCACAGCTTATCTACGCTTGTTGAATCATTTTATCCTCCAAGTTGTCAGCGGTTTGTTTAAACAAACATATATCCAGGAGCAGACTTCTATAAACTTGAAACATGATTTACAAAGTTGATATAATTCTGTATACTGGATTGAATGTATTCCATATGCCTTTGTAATGAAACATTTTTCAGAATAAAAATGTTGAGTATCTCAAAAGCAAGAGTAAACAATTGTATTATAACTATAAATATATTTCAATTACAGTACAGCTTTGATATACCTCATATGTCGTTGTCATAGATGGTTTGTATGATACATGATTAGCTCTTCTTAGCTCCTTGATAGTTTCTGCAGGCATAGATTTGGAGAATCCTAATCCACTCCATGTATTTGTTGGAGTTCTCACTTCTGTTACAACTGGCTTCTTTAGCATAGCTGAAAACATATAGGGACAAAACAGTAAACGTCACTATTTAAAGATAGGTGTTTTTCTTCTGGGGTGATAGTATTTAACAGAGCCAAACTTATTGCGAAGTCCTGTATCAATATCAAAACTAAATCTATCCCTGAAGTCGAGACCAACTTTGCAAATAAGACAAATATCTTAATATTTCAGCTTCCCCTAAGTAACTTCAAATACAACAAGTATCTTTTTATTACATCAGTATTAGAAATAGTTTGAAATATGTGAAAGCCAATACACAAATGCCTCACTTTAATACTAGCTTTACATTTGATTAAAAAAACATAAAATCGTAACGTGAGAAAACTGAGTGGTGACAAACTTTTCATCAGTCTGTTTACACACATACCTTTGGTTGCTAGTAGCTTCTTCTGTTCATAGTCAAATGCCTAAAAATTAAACAGGCAGAGGGTGGCTTAATTGCTATTCAAATTAAAGGTCATCTCAGTAATTAGCTCTTCTTAGAAACAAAGGTTTTGAATGAGGCCAATGAACCCATCTAGGAGAAAGTGGGAAGTACTGCACAATAATGTGACAGTGGCCTACTAAAAGCCCCAGGTAAAATATTCGTTCAAATCTAGATAACAAACATTTAAAATAGCTACCTAGCTTCCACGTGAGTGAAGTAATAGCAGTATTTAGAATCTGCATAGGCAAATTTTTGTAACATGTTTTTTCAAGCATAGTTTATCTTCCCACATCATCTCCTTAGTATTTGAAACATCCAATAGCTGTACAAATTAAAATAACAATATACATCTTTGACTGCATTCTAGGCATCAGAGTTATTTTCAATATTTTTTAAAGGTTCTATTCCCTACGGAATTATTTTTTAAAGAAAAACAGATGAGTTTTGACAGAATTCAGTAAAACAGCCATTAACGCTACCTATGACAACGGAAGATGTGAAGCTTAAGTGCTAATGGTAAGACTAATTATCAGTACAATTTGAAAGACAGATTAGCAAAGTCTAAACATACAGAACTACAAAAACTGCAGTACTTAGCCTGAACTGTTAAACTGACTATTTTAAATAACTACAGTGCTGATAAGGAGAGGTCTGCAAAAGTTATGTCACCACTGATAGAAGATATATGGTGACAAGTTAGTGAATACCAAACTACTTCTATCTAATGTGATTTGGAGTATAGGCAAAAAGATACATTTTGCTTCAAAATATATTATGAAAAGGTGCAAATGCAAGGGTCTTGCTGCATCATGTCATAAAATACCTCAAGAGCATCGCAGCTTAATTTGTGTTGGGAGGAACACGTGAAGATACCTTGAAGCAAAAGAACCACTTGGCTGAGAAACACTTCCCCTTCAACTGCAATGTCAATGCAGGTGTGGTGGGCAGCAGCCACCTCTGCATTCCCTGGCAATTTCCTTTGGCAGCGATGAACCTCCGCGCGCCAGACCCACCTGCATGCTGCCGTAGGCGGGCTGCGGCGCGAGGCGCGCGGCGCGCTCCGAGCCGTGCTGCGCGGCCGCTGCGCGCTCCGCCGCGCGCTCGCTGCCCGGAGCCTTCTTGTCGGCCACGGGGCCCTCGGCGGCGCCCAGCTCCGCGTCCGAGAGCAGCCTCTCAGCGGCGCTGCGGAAACAAGGCCCGCGTTAGCGCCGCGGCTTCCCGCGGCGAGCTGGAAACGCGCAATGGGATTCTGACAGGCAAACTGCATGCCTAGGAAAACAACACCTGTCCTGCCAAGGTAGCGCATCAAAAAATCCTTTCCCTGGGCTTGGTGGAATCTTGATTATATCCTACACATCACTACCTCAAATGTGTACCATATGTGTAGCTCCCCCTCCCACAAATATATATGAATATGCGCTTGCATAAGAGCAAAAAGTCTGCCAGTTAAGAACTGTTCTTAACGCAATCATTAAAATAGAAAGAGTACAAAAATATATCCAACAGAAACAGGTAACAAAATTCCTTTGAGGAAGAAAATCCAGATCCTTGTAGGAAAGGAAAAGCAGTTCCCTTCTGCAATAAATGTGCGAAAGAGAAAATTTCTTAGAATATACAAAGTCAAAAAGTGATAAAAGAAAAAGTAGATCTAACAATGTGATTTAACACATACCCCATATCATTCTGTTCTATGAATATCTAATGACTGAGCCACACGTTCTACCTCTAAATCATAAAAAGTACTATTTTATGTTGAAAGTTCCATTAACTTATGTTTGCCCATTTAACCTACTGTAAGTGAGAGTTTTTGGTGCCTTGCAGCAATTCCACCGTTTGCCTCTTTGAACAGGCCTGTTTGGAAGCACTCAACATCTGCTTCAGGTCACTGGTATTTGCTGAATGGGACGGACTTCGCGGCATGCCCACTTCTACAAAAGCATCATTGCAACCTACAAGGCCAAGAGAGGGAAGGAAAGATTATATTCCTGCACATTTGCTATGCGAGTTATTATTCTAAAAGAAAATCTACTGTCTCTCCTTTAAAATTAGTCTAGCCTTTGGGGGGCTAGTTTGTTCAAAATTAATAAGACAAGAAGGTAATTTCACACACACATACATAATTAAGAATTCATGCAGCACTTCCACTGCATTTTGCAAGTACACGCTTATTTTTCAAGTAAAAGCCAGGTAACTAACTACTATCAAATATAAAGAGTCACAATCAGAAACAACCATTTCATGTGATTTGCTTGGGTATCCTGCTTGTTAAGCCTTAGTGAGTGTTCAGATAGTCTTGAATCGAAGTACAAGCTTCCCATTAAAATGCTCCATTTTCTTTGTTTTTTTTTTTTGGTGTGTGTGTTGTTTCAAATATTTATCCTTTTAGCAATTGAGCAATGTATGTTTTAAGTCACAATTCAAGATGCCCACAAGCCTTACGGAACAGGTTTTTCCTTGCTGAAGTCAGTATTTGCCAGTACAGCTGAATATAAGTTTTATTTACTTTATTTGACAGCAGATTGCTAACACAGAGTGATACTCTCCCTCAACATAGCTGCACAATCAGTGCACAAATACGTGGTTTCATAAACTGCATGCAGATTGCACAAACACTTCCAAGTCAAAAAAAAAGTCAGCATCTTTCTTACCTTCTGCACTACTTGACTTGGCCGTTACTTGTTCAGAGGCACCATGACTACTTGTCTGCCTTGATGGATCACCGTGGTTTGTGCTCAACATATTTTCTCCCAGCGATGTGGCAGATAGTGCAGCGTACTTGAGATTTGATGTCTGAAATAATTGTTTAAAAAGTCACTGTAGTGTTTGGTATATTTCACAAAGTATTGAATAGTTTTACTCTCCAGTCTTTGCAGGATAACAATCATTTCTGATTGTTTTATTGCTTGTTTGTTTTTAATTTTTATGTCATATCTTGGAAATCCTCCTATCCTATTTCTAACCTCAGTAGCTTTAAGAACCACTACTAAGGCAACTAGGTTTTTCACTCAAGATTTTTAGCAGGTTCATTACCAACAGATCTGGTTATCCAGAAACCATGTCACTTACCTTGACATGGCCATTTAAAGAAGGGGATCCTTTTTTATTCTCTGGTTGCATGCCATTGACATGGACTTCAACAGGAGTCAAGCCTGGTGGTGGTGAGGGAGTGTTCTGACTGTAACTGGGCACTCCAGATAACAGAATACTAGTTAAAGTGGCTTGGGCAGTAGATGGTATCATTAGGTGTGGAATAGCAGAAAAACCTATGACAAAAGAATTGGGTCATGTTCTGTGTTTTTTTCCCCCTCTCCAATTTGTTAAGCTTAGTGCTTTAAGCAAATCTCTTTGTTAAAACAGTTTCCTATAGAATGTAGATCAAAACCTGCAAGTGACATTATATCATGATGTAATGAAAAAACTCGAGACACTGACTTTTTTTCATCTGCATGAGGATAAACAGAAAAAAGTCTTAAGTATGAATGATTTTGGACTTTACAGCTCCATTAACAACTCTGTTGTACAAATAACTTAGTTAACATTTAATTCTACTAACCTGTGGCATTTGTGTTAGCAAGAGATGTTGCCCACAACGTCGGGCTAGGTGTGCCAGAACTTGGACTCTGTAGGGGGCTCACAGAGCTGTTCAGGGCATTCAGAAGCGAATTTGGAGTAGTTGAGGTGTTAACCGACAGGGCTGTTGGACCTAGAAGGCCTATCACATAGAAAAAAAAAAAATACATTGATATTTAAAGATGCATAAAAAAGCATTTTCACAAAATGCTTCCAGACAGTCTTCTACATAGAGACAATCCCCATCACTGAGCACTAAAGTTTTGGATGAATTACAATGATTTAGATTTTCTAGTTCTTCAAAACAAATCCTTACCCAAAAATATAGTTGGTTCTTTTTCCCTAGATTTGTGAATTAAGTTTCAAATATCAGAATAAGTAAATATACATATATACCAAGTCCAGTGAGTCCTAGTCCTGCTGAGGACAAGATATCCAAACCAGGACAAGAAAGACCAACAGGGCAAGAGACAGTAGAGGGATTTGACGCTATGGTGACTCCACTACTTTCGAGTCCCAGGAGACATTTCCGTGCCTCGTACATGTTTAAGGCATTTCGTTCAACACTTTTTACAATCACAGACTGTGGAGAGAGAGAGAGAGAGAGAGAGAAAGAGAGAAGGGGACAAAAAGACACAATGGCAAATCAGTGAGCAGTACAACTACATGACACGGATCTGCAACACACACAATTCTTACATAGCTGTGCATGAGGTAATAGTGCAACTAATCAAACTCAATCCTTTATAAAGTGAACAAAATCCCTAATCCCGTAACAAGTAACTCCTTCCACAAAAAAAATTACCAGAATAATGGAAAACAGTAGCACTTTGCTAGTTATTATCAGATCTTAAGAACCCCAAGATCTGGACAAGTTGGTTAACTGCTCAAGACTCATCTATTTCAGAGGTCTATTAAAAAAGTGCAAAAATATTCATATAGATTTTTCTTGCACTCAGCTTCCTGAAAATATAGTCATAAGTGCCTGGGAATTATATTTTTTGTTTCTTGTTATTAATTTTACATATCTCTATGGAGAGAAGACACATTACTGATAGAAAGGAATAGTCATTTGGAATTTCAAATTTTCTGATATGTTATTATATTATAATGCAGATAGCTAAGTCTCTTATTGGACATGTTCAAATTTATGCTTCTAAATTAATATCTGCATATGCATTTTTTTTAAACGCTATTAGCAGTATTTTCCATACAAAAGATCACCTTTGTCAAATGTTTAATGAGAAAATTAAACAGTAGCTATGGAGAAAACCTTTACAACCTCAGCTGACTTACTTCAAGCAGAAAAAAAGTGCATATGTATCATATGTATACACACACGCACATAAAGAATACATTCTTTAAAAGATTCTGATTCCATACAGGAGGGAGGACCTCATCACTTGCCAACTCATCATTTAAAAAGCAAACCTATACTAAAACTTAAGGAGAACACATTAGCTTTTCACTAACCTTGCTTGGTTGCTTTGGCTTTGGCTTAATGCTTATGAAGACGTCTAACTGCTCCATTAGTTGTGTTATAAACTGTGGTTCTACTTCAATTTCTTCCTTCATATCAAACATCAGCACAAGAGGAAGGCAACCCTAAAAAGACAAGTGCAAAAATTCACACAATACACATCTTTGCTCCGCATAAATGTTGTCAATAAATTTAAGTATATAGACTATACACCTATATATTGTAATATAAAAAGTATGCTTACAGCACACTGCATAATGCTGTTAAGGGCTTATTTGGCAGGGGGAACAGAAACAAATACATTCACAATCTGAAGCCTGTGTAAACTGGGAGGTACAGACCCCAGTAACATGCTTTGATAGTGAGTAAATGAATAAAACTGAGTTTTAAATGTCTTCTGTAATTAAACCTTGCACAGCCTACATTACCACACACAAAGCTGACAAAAATTAAGTGCCTGTCTATTTTTAGTGATTACCAAGATAGGGTAATCTCAAGTGTAAGAATGATAGGAAGACAAAAAGCTTTTTATTATTGATATGTTTAAAAAGTCCTCAGACATCCTCACTCACAAGACTAATTTACAATCACTTTATGCTCTTTCTTCTCTTCACAGTTTGCCCTAATCATTATTAGAAATATTGGCTTTACTTTTGCATTGAGTATATTTCTCCAAGAAGCACATTTAAAATTAGAATCAGTTAGACATGGAATACTTGTCAGAGATGAGGGATATTTTCAATTTACACATGAAAACTCACCACCTACTTGAACAACTTATTTACTGGTTAATACTTATATTGAGATAGATGTTAGTAATTCCTACAGCTAATGACAATACTGGATTGTATTTGGGACACTGTTGTACTCAGACGTTCATAATTACTAAATCAAATTTTATTATCTCAGCAATGGTACTTGCATAATTATGAGTTTATTAATGTGTTTTTTTCATTCTTGCATAGATTCTTGTTTGTATACCCTACTCCATTGGCCTACATAAGAAAAACAGCTGAAGCTCAGCAAGGAAATGCAGAGAACCAAGTATTTCTTAAAATGTACTGACAAAAATATCCTGAAATATTGAAAGTAGATGTATAAATAAAGGCATCACATTTCTGCTTATCACTGTACAGCAAGGCACAGTGTAGCAGAGCAGAGATCTGGACTTCGAGAACTTTGTGATATCATGTTTTATGCTGATAACAGCTTTGAGTAAAAATAGAGTCTAATCCTCTGATTTCTTGTTCATAAATGAGTACATAAGAAAACAAACAAGCTACAAGCACTAGCACTGTCACAAGGCCTAAAGGCTCCCATTACATTTAGAAATCCACGTAACAAAAACTTGTGCAATTGAAAAAAACATCCTTTGACAGAGCTAATGTTTAATAAGGAGACAATAGTACTGATGGAATAGTACTGTAAAAGAATGGTCACAAATCATTGGGGAATACGTAAATGTTTCCAGAGATTCTCCTGTTTTCCTGAAATCTCATCTACCTAAGAATTAAAACTCCTGACACAAACAGCTTATCTGACAAATAAGAAGAATGGTACATGGCCAAAGGGAAAAGAAAATAAGAGTGTTTTTCCCAAATGTCTGCCTTCTAATCATTTAGACTGGCAAGGAAATTTTTTTTAATCACAGTATCTTAAGTATTTGTGATTTTTGGTAGCTTCAAGTGATAATTGCCCACAAAGACTCAAAAGTCAAACACTCAACAGAAACAACATTTCAACCAAAATAGTAACCCTTCCCCTCCAAAGCTAATTTATATTTGAGCAGCAGGTACACAAAAAATGAGCGTGCTTTTTGTTATCTGCCATTTTTTCAAGTAGACTTCCCTGAAAATATTTACCATGAGATATTGCCTGGCAAGACAGACAGACTCAATTGTGCCCTGGAGGTAGACAGTGGATTTCTTCTGTGGATTACTAGGGTCAGGGAAGTGGATCTGAGCACCAGTCCTCTGCATGATATGTTTGATGTTACTGCCGTTTCGACCCATCATAAAGAGATGATGCTGTGCTGCAATGTCTAGCTGTGTGCTCACGGGGATCGCAGAGGCCAGACTCCCAGCTAGGTGCTCCAAAAGCATGGCTGTTCCCTCCTGCAAAGGCAGAAAGCAGCATCAGAAGAGACACAGTGAAACAGTGCTCATCACACATTCACATCCATGCATGTGGTCATCATGCATTTCATACTTGAGATTAAAAATATCTGATGTGTAATAGGGCAAGAGGTAGACTAAACTTCACCTACTATCCTCACTCAATGAATAGATGGAGGATGTAATTGCCATCATGAAAGGCAGGAAGATGACATCTAACTGCTTGGTGCTGATGGAATTTCTGAGCTCGTATATAATGGTAAAAAAGCCAACAGAGATTTATTGGGCTAGATACACATTGCCAAACTGCCAAATTTGTGCTTCAGTTAGGACCTAAGACATTCTCAGCGGCTTGAGATATACCCACCTAAGACCATATCTTTTCTCCTGGTGCATTATCAGCTGTTAACAATGAAGATTACTAAAATAAAGAGCTTTATGGCAGTTCCTTTACTTGAAAGTGAAATTAGATCTTACAATCTTAGTTTTGCAAAAGTAGTTTTATTCATCGTTAAGACAAGTTTCAGGTTTATATATTTGACTGAATGTTTTGAGTTTTACTGAAACGTGTAGAACATCAGAGTGAGTTTCTTTAAATATTTTTTGGTAGAAGGTTATGAAGCAGAAAAGGGGCGTTTTCTTTAAAAGCTATTTTCCAGAACTCCTAGAAACCTGGTAGGCTGGTGCAGTAGATTAAAAAAATAGATTAAAAGATAAACAAAATTTAATATTGAACCAAATAATTTCCTATGCATTTATACCCATCACCTAAAGGTTTTTTCTAAACATTAGTACTTTCAGATATTAAAAGCAATTATACAATTAAAACTTGTATTGTTGAAGCTGGATAACAGTAATGTAGTGCTTAAGTATCTAATCTATGATGATATTTATGACACATAGAAGCCAACTTAAGATGATTCATTACCTTCACAGCGCTAGTGTTACTTTGCGACCCTCTGACAATTACTGTAGCACCATACATTCGAGAGCGTTGTTTAAACGAAACAGATATATTATAAGTCTGAGATATATGCTGAATTGTGGGAGAATTAGGATCTGGGATTGGTTGGAGAATTCCAGCAATAGGCAATTCAAACATAAGTACCAAAGGAAGCAGCTCCTAGAACAAGATCCAAAGGCAAACACTGAAAACCCTACTCAGACTTGCTAAAAATTACCAGTTTTATTACTGATTAATTGGTCAGTAACAACCAAATCGAGATTATCTACTCATTAAAAAATAGTATAATAACTTGAGTTGGAAAAGGCACCGAGTTTTTCCTGGGATATCAAAAGGGTTTGTTCATACCAAGATACCACGATTATTTGCAATTAAGGAGCAAGAATAAAGCCAGATTATTTTTTTCATATTCATTCATGCAGATATAAAACTAGAGGTTAACATTTGTAAACATTCCTAAAGAATTCCTTCCACTGTGGATAAACTGAAGCTCTGACATCTGCTACAAATCTATAAAACATAGGCTTTTTTTTAAAATTTGTCTTATCAATGTTGTGTGAATGACATGCTTGACCATGACAGTTGTGAAAGTAATTTAAGAATTTATTAATTTAATGCTAGCTAGGCCAAATCACACATACAAACCAAAGCTGAAAGATGAAGATTGAAGAGAACAAATGAATGGAATACTTGATATCTTGCAGATTCCATTTTAAAGGACTAGTTAGAGATCCGGCCAAAAAGTGAATCACTGTTTTTATAATTCCCTTGGCATTCTCTTCATATGGAAAATTGCATTTTTCATTTTTTTCATCTCAAAACAGAGCCTTACAACCCTACAGTTCTCAAAACTGGACTGTCACAAGTGGCTGTTACCCGTATTCTAACTCTTGCCGACTCCACTCCAGCTGGCTGTCCTGCAATAGACACCTGAAAGAGCAAGAACACACACAACATAGCAACAGATTTTCAAAATAAAGCATTTTGAAGTTTATTCAAGTACCTCTGCTTCCTTAAAAAAATCCACAAAAATCTACATTTACTATAAAACTGGTCTTAAGCATTTTCTAAACAGTAGCCACAAATAAACCCAGTAAACAACATATCTTTGGATATTCTAGCACCTAAGCTATCAGTACAACTGCTTGGATCCAATAATGAAGTCATTACTATATACACATGCTCAATGCTAGTAATCAACACATACACATTCTCTTGAATGCTCTGAAGTCACCGCTGTTTTGTTGCGGAGCCACAAGAAACAAGAGGGATTTAAGTCCCATGATAAAATTAAGCCTTTCACTAACACTGGCATTACAGAAGGCTTGCAACTGAGGTTCAATGACTTATTCTAATGTAGGTGAACTGCTGGAACAAGACATTCATTTTTGCACCTTCACCACTAACTTTGATTTTGTACCATAAAATCATGAGTTATACCATAAGCACCAAAAACATATTAATCATTAAGTCTGAGTAAGCCAGACACTGAACAGATATTAAAATGACAAACAAACCCCAAACTCCACTATCATAATGTTCAGACTCCCCCCTCACAAATCCTATTTCAATAAACTTTAATTCCCCCATGTCCCAAACTGTAAAAATCCAACAGCAGCATTTTATATTCTCAGGCATTAACAGCATAAAGCCATTAACATATTAAATACTACTTACTTGGTTGCTTTTTTCTGCTTGATTATTCCTATTTGAGTCTGGAAAATGGATATGGCATCCTGTTTCCTCCATCACTTTTTTAATATTATTGCCACCTTTACCTATCACATGAGAATGTTCTGTATGGGAAACATCCATCTTCAAGGTTACTCGATTGCTCTGGAAATCAAGCACCTTTGATGAGATTCCTTTGATGAGATTCCTTCACACTGGTACTTTAGTATTTCATATGGTATAACCTGAAGTTCTATTTAGAAAGGTATTTCCAAATAGATAAGTAGGGGTTGTACATGTTTAATATGTGGATCACAGTCAATTGTTTTTTATGTATAAAATATATATACATATGTAATATAAAAGATTTTTTTTTCTCTTCTCCAAATAGGGAAAATAACATGGAAATAAATACTTTAAAGGTCTAAAGGTCCATCTTCACAACCACTGAAAGCTTTTAAACCTAGATTTAGATTCTACTGCCCACCATGATTTCCATGTTCTTTTGCAATCCAATCAGTTGTCACGGGCCCAGGTTGTTCCAAATGCAAACTCAAACCTCTCTCTAATCCGACAGGATCGTATGATGGAAACTTTGGTAAAAAAGAATGCTAGAGAACTTGACCATACGTATCTACCATCCACAGTGAATCTTACTTGAGATTAAGTAAAAAGCAAATGAACAACAAATTATTTTTGCTTTTAACCTTAGGGTTGGGAACATTAGTTATATATAGGTCATAAGGAAAAAAATGTTAATCCAGTATTTTCTTGTACATATGCCATATATCAACATGCATGAATGTTTTGGACTCTTTGCTTGAGAACATCTTAGTGCCTTCTATTTAAAAGAACCCATTACACACACCCATGTGCACACACAATGCAACATTACAGTAGCAAATTTAAAGCGATTTTTTCTTACTTTTGTGTCTAAGACAGACATGATCTTCTCTTTAGCTTCTTTAACATTTTCCTTTTTTCCAGAGACTTTAATATGGGGATCTATCAAAGAAATAAACACTTGTGAAAGAATAATAAAAAAGAATATATACAAAAATCTCTAGCAGAATTTCCCAAAGTCATTTCAGAACTGTTTGTATTCATTATGTAAGGTTTACTGGCTAATCATACCACCAATGAGTAGAATTTAAACCAAATAACAAAACCTTTCACACCACCCATTCAGTCCCAATTACCAGATAAAATTAAATTCAATAAGAAACTTAAAAACACTGCCTGCAATGCTATGATTATATATATTTGTATATATATCAAATATTATATATTTGATATTTGAATTTTTATTAACTTTAAGACCAATATGCAGCTAAACCATCACACCTTCTCAGATAAAACATGAACATAGAGCAAGAAGACTCAGACAACCTGTAAAAACCCCCATCAGAACTTCATTATTTAATTGGTTTCCATAACTGTCCCCCTGCAGTCTTAACCAGTAATAAATAAAAATAAAAATAGTTTCCCATGGAAGTTTTCTAGTTGGATTTATGAAGCCTCCTTTCAGCAGCTCCGTTGCACAGCAAAGCGTGTGCCTGACACATCAGGAGCTGCTCCTGGATTTCCTAGGGAGCGTTAGAGCCCCGGGAACACCAAGCTACTGGTGCCTTTGCCCAAGCACATCTAACACACTCGCTCCACAACACAATTCAGTTGGCATCAGAATTTCACACCATAGCCCTACAGTAATAAAGTGTTGTATGTTATTTGGTTGGTTAGAAACAGTGTCCACAAAATGTAAACTGACTCTAGGACTAAACCAAATATCAATTGCTCAAAATAAGTAAGAAAAAACCCTACAAGTTAGACAGCTTTGTAGCACCACCTGGTGTCCAGAAACAGAGTACCACGATGCAAAACCTTCCCAATCTCAGAAATAATTCCAAACAACCCTCCCCGACCACCCAAATTTCTAGGCATTAGGGACACTTAAGCAAATGTGCAGACAATGCTTCCCACAACAGGACAAACAGGGGAGGAAAAAAAAGGTTTCAATCTTCTCCTGGCTCTTACATGCTAACATAATCTAATTCATTAGGCTAAGCAGACAAACACAGCTTTACAGTTTCAAGTATGTAAAATCATACTTTTTCAATAGCAGGAAAATAAGCTGTAACAAAGTACATTTGCCTTTGCCATCACCTCAATCATTGCAATCACCTCACTATTAAAGAATTGTCAACCAATGCAACTAATTTGTAAACCTGTAGTAGTCAATTGAAAATCCAAACTTTGTTAAGTCATGCCTAGAAACCCTTTCCTTCCAACAATACAAGAAAAAAAAAGTTGTCAAAACCACTACGAAAAACCAGCCTTTACCACATATGCTGGAGGAACACAGGACTCACTGCCAAGTTTCATGAAAAGCAAGAACTCTGCATTTTGAATTCTGAGAAACAGACATATTTCATTTTCTAAAATGGAAAAAAAAAATCACAAAAATGTAGTGTGTGCAGAGATCTACAGAAGCTCTGTGAATTTGCTGCTTCAGTCTCTTCACAATGAAGATTTAAAAAAAAAAAGTCTTAAGGGCAATTTTTTTCTTGTCTGTTTTAAGCTGACAGTAAGCCATGTGGTTCTAATGTGTTTAAGCTGGGAATGATGTTTGAAGTGGATGTTGCATGCAGAGGTTCCCAGAATCAGACTAGCACACTATGCAGGCCTCAAATGCCCTTTAGAGGCAGCTCGGAAAAATGACAAAGACAATTAAAGCCACTTTTGGTGTCCTTGTTGTCTCCCCACTGCCACTCGGGTTCATCAGTTTTCAGATTTTTATATATACTTAGTTCAAAGTATGAAATCTCATTCACTGAAGAAAAAACAAAACATAAAAAGGGAAAAAAAGGCACCCCTGCAATTCTGAAGAATGCTACGAATCTTCCAAAATCGGTTAGTAATGAATACAAAGCAGCAGCGAGATTTTAGGTTAACAGAATTCTTCCTTTGAGACTCTCTCACTTTTTCAAGGAAATACAATTCAAACACCCAAATCTCAATTTTGAGAGATGAAAAAAAATCCTCACAACTGATAGATTTTGAATTCTTTGATTTGTTTCTGAAGGGCCAGAAGAGCACAGGACTACATATGTACTATAGCACATATACTGTAGTAATACTGAACTGATGTACACAGAATGAATGACTTTCGGAGGAACTGCCTAAATAGTCAGAAGGGTGATTAAGTCCTGTACTCTGATTTTCCAAGTTTTACAGATCACTGACCTTCTTGCATATACTTCATGATAGAACCTATTAACTCTGTTTGCGTTTCATTTTCACTGAAAAGCAGCAAACCCCTAGTAGTCTGCTCCAATGGTTTGCTAGTTTGTCTCACAAATTGGTGTCCAATTTCTGAATTATTATTTTAATTTATTCCGTCCAATGCAGCCTCTGCGCAGTTCCTCACCCCATTCACATCAGCTACATTTGACCGTAAACAATTCTCAACCAAGTAGGGAAAAACCTGTCACTAGCATCAGAATTTTACCAGGAAAACCAAGCTGAAGGAAAAGCTATGGAAAAGTCTGGATGGACAGTGCCCCTTTCCAGACAGGGCTGCCTGAAACCTTTCAGTCGCCAAATGGGAATGAAAAACCCACATAAGGTTCTCATGCATCTGTACAAGGCAGTAATTAAAACATTCAGTTGACTTAAGCTTTCTAAATATTTTTGAAGCTGTTGCCACCAGTAAGGAGCCAAATACCTAGAAATCTCTGTTCCAAACAATGACACCTCTTGGCAGCACAAGCAGAGGGTTTTTCCACGAATCCTTGTGGCACGTGATGCCTGTTTGCTGTTGTATTTGCACGCGGCTGAGCAAAATATAAAACTCTGCCACCTTCATTCTAGCAGAAACGACTTACTCCATGCTTTTCAGTTCAACGCTTGATATCATAACAAAACCTCTATTTTTGCTTTACTGAGGTAAAAATCCTCCTTTGTCTGTACAGGCACAGCCTGGCTGCATTTGTCCAGACGATGCCAGATCGCATCGGTAGAAGGTCAGGCCAGACCTTTACCTCGAGAAACATTGGCCTTGGGATCCAGTCTCACTGAAAACCCAGCTTGAGAAGAGGCCTGCATGCTAAAAGCATATACAGTTCATATGCTTTAAAGCAAATTCAGCACCAGAAACTGGAAAAGATGTGGCCTTATAAGAAGCAGTATTAGCGTTCCCCAAAATGGGACAAATTTCACTGTTCTGCAATCTCTTCTGCAATCAGTTTACGTGGGTAGTATCTTCTTTCCTGAGACTAGGAAAGATTTGCAGGTTTTTCTGAAGAACAGGGGACTATTTACATAAAACGGAAAGCTGAAGCTGCACAAAAGAAACTATAGGAAATTTTCCCCAATATTCTTTGTTTTGCCAGACTCCCGCCTTGAAGCGGCCTTTCATTGCTCCCGTCCTCAACTTCCTCGCTCCCCACTTTGGCAGATCTTCCCCCTTGCCTGTCCTTGCCCACAGTCACACCAGCAAGCCTCCAGCCTCTCAGCTACTATTGTGTGCTGCATTTCAGTAAACAAAACAACATTCCTCCGAGCAAAAACATACTTGTGCCAGGGCAAATGCATCCACGCTGGGGCTTTTGCCAGGGAAGAAGGATTTCAATAACTGAATGTTTCACTGTGTAAGCCTCTACTGCTAATTAGGCATTACATTTGGTGAGCAAATTTTTCAGACCACAGCTGAGCTTCTAGCTCCTTTACAGGAGAGAGAGACCTTAAGTTACAGAAAACGCTGTTATCCCAAGAAGAGCTAGGCCACTGGGCAATGCAAGGGCAGATGACAGGCATTCTTTACGACCACCTGATTAGGATGAGAACAGTCCATGTGCATTAGGGAACATGAGACATTCCAATTAAAAACAAGGCCAAAAAAGACAAAAGCCACTCAGGATTTTTAAGGATTAGTTTTGAACGTTTCTGCCCCAAAAGTATTAGCAAAAAAGCAAAGCTATATTGAAAGTTGGAATGAAAACAGAAAAGAGTCAGATGAACACATAATATATTAGCGTCTTCTCAAGTGAAAGCTTCTATTTGCACCACAAAAAGATGAAAAATAAGTCTGTAAAAGAGTTAATCAAGAACCACAGGGGTATTTGGCTACCTGAACAGAAGTCTACCTACTTTTTAAATCAAGTAGGCAATACCTGCATATACAGTTGTTGGAGTGGATATTCACTGACCAGACAGCTATTGACATCAATCAATGTAAAGACAGATTTGAAGCAAGCTCAGTCTTCCCATGGAGGAAGAAACATTAAGGCTAAATGTGGCAACAAACCCTTGTGCTTCACAGGTTAACACAAAACAACTTGGGAGAACAAAGAAGAAAATTTGTCATTTGGGCACGTTTCGGTACCAGTTCATTCTATGTCAGTTTAAGAGAGTTCTTGCCCTTCTTTCCAATGCAATCCAGGACTTTCCCTTGCACTCTCTGGACCACAGAAGAAAAAACCCCAGTAACACATTAAGGCAGAATGCAACAGGAGGCAAACCCCTTGCATATCCTTGCATATCCAGTGCTATTTGCTTTATTTATTTAAATTTCTTTCCCCTCACCAAATCAGAAAATAAAAAGTAATTCCATTCTCATATGGTTAAAAAAATAATTCTCAGGTGCCTTAGATACCCAATCCATCATAATAGACACCAGGCAAGTCCTTAGACAGACACAATTGTTGCAATTACTTGAAGAGCAATACTGTCATATTTGAACTAGATTTTCACTAGCTGACTTGGACATCAACAAAAGCCTATCCATAGCACCACAAAACTCAATAAGGACTTCAAATAATTAGCAACATCTTTGGAGTAGCTCTATCCTGAGGCTGTTGGCACCCAGGAGGATCTTCCTCGTGCATGATCAGCTGATTATAAAGTGTCCTTCTACATGTGCCCTCCAAAACTTACTTTATTCTCAGAACTTTTTGCTGTCTAGTTTGCCTTCTTGCTGACATCTCTTTACAAACACCCTTAGAAGA